GGGGCGAAGATCTCCTCCTCCCCGTCCTCTGACATGAATCCAGGATGGGAAAAGTGGTCGGGGCCCGCCTGCCCGAGGGCCTGGGAGCCACTCTCCGCGCCATTCGCTCCTGGGTGCCGGCGCGCGCGTGCTCCGGAGCTCCTGGAGCCCCCGGCTGGTCCTAGGCAGCGGGCCCAGATCAGCCACGAGGGCGGCCGAACGGCGCCCCGAGGGCCCCGAGATGCCCCGCGCTCCTACCAGATGCCCGAAGACGACTCAAAGAAAACCCACCAAAACGCTTCCGAAACGAAGAAATATGGATTTCCGATTGGTTTCGCTGGACTTGGAAAGGCTCAATTCTTCTGACTTCCTGGCGTCCGAGGCCGCCCAAGAGACCCGAACATCGCCCCGAAATTATCCGAAAGGGATTCCAGACAGTCCAAGAAAGCCCCGAGACGGCCCAACACGGTCCCAAGACGGGCCGAAGAGTCCCATGACGGCCCAAAATGGCCCCAATATACCTGCCGAAGCATGCCAAATCGTGGTCCTGTCGTTCAGGGAGGCCGCGGTTGGAAGCAGGGTGACCCGAGGAACCCCCGGAGGCCTCCAGACGGCGCCCAGGAGACCTCCAGAATGCTCCAATAAACTCTCACCACTTTCATGAAGTCCCCCAAAGGCTGTCCATGGAGGAGCTGACGAGGATGGGGGAGAATTCGCAGGGTAGGGCGACAGTGAGGACGACGGAGAAGAAACATGAAGGAACGACGACGAATAACATGACCATCTCGACGACGCTGGGAACATACAACATAGAGTTATCACTACGTTGTGTTTTACCCTCCTGCCCTTCCGCTTGCATGCCAAACTTCAATGACCAAGGCTCATGGCGCGATGCGCCAACACAGTGTGGTATATCCATGTATGAACAACTGCAGCAGCTCTACTCCTACTGATGCTCACTCCCAGTGATGGCGGACCGTACTGTTCAAGTCATGGCACGATAGCAGATGGCGGTGGCTTCCAGGACGGTGCCTCAATCTCTGTGTTGATCACGACGACCCCGTTGCCGCCACCCGACCATGCCCCCCCCAGCAATTCCTGATTCGGAGTTCTGGCGCCGCCACTCCGCCTCATGAGGCGCGCGTTGAAGAGACCACTGGCCTGAGATGTGCTGATACTTGGTCCCTCTTTCGGACTCCTTCGGATTCAAAGGTGTGCATTTCGCAACAGCAATACCGTGAGAGAGAGAGGGAGATAGAAAGAGAGATAGGAAAAAAAAAAACGGAAAAGGCTGGGCGCGCCTGTCGGAGATGCCGTAGCTGACGTCGAAAAGATAAGCGGCAGCGGCACGACACGATAAGTTTACCCCAAACGATCAATACATACACTCCTTCCACGCCGTACTTGCTCCCTCCTCCTCCTCCTCCCCGTCCTCCTCCTCCTCCTCCTGACGGGCTCCCCGCGGGCAAGTCCTGCAACGGCGAAGCTCTGTTGGGGTTGGACAACATCTTGGCCTCGGCCTTGGTCTGCTCCGCGGTGACCGCCCTCGCGTGCACGTCGGTGCTCCTCTCGCTCTGCGTCCCCGTGACGACGCCAGGGTCGGAGTTCGCCCGCGGCCGCGGCTGCGGAGACTCCTCTCGGGGATGGACCGACCCCCCTTTAGCAAAACGTGGTTTAGTGAGAACGACCTCGGGCCCAGCCCTGGCGGGCGCAACCCTGGAAGATGGCGGCCGCGGCGCCCCCTTGAGAACCGAGAATGGACAATTCACTAATCGACGTGTCAGGGTGGGCAGGAGGGCCCAGAATCGATTCGATAAGTCGGATCGGCGATCGAAATCAATCGGATCGGCGGAAGTCGGCAGCCGAATCGGGAAAAGTCGAAACGGCGGAAATCGGCAGTTTAGCAGGCCTCCATTGAAACATCGGAGCCCAAATCGGAATCCAAAGTCGAATCGGATCGGAATCGGAAGCCACCGAAATCGAATCTAATCGAATCGGGGGAATCGAAATGACCCCTGGTGGGGGTTCTGCCCACCCCCGATCCTCTTCTTCTCGAAGGAGGAAGGCCAGGCACAGGCACAAAAAACACTTTCGGAGGCCCGCGCGGACTTTGCCTGGGTCGGCGCTGGGTGCCTGTCGGGGATCTTCTGACCCGGGTCAATCCAGACCCAGGTCAGTCAGGCCTTGCCGATTCCTGCACGGCCCTGCACCCAAACCCGGGTCAATGCGAAGGATCCTGCAAAATCCTGCAGGATCCTGATCCCAAACCCGGGTCAATGCGACCCTGGCCCTGCAGGATCCTGCAAGGTCGGGCGCTCTGGCTGACCCCCGTTTGCGTCGACCCCCGTCCCAAGGCTCCCGAGCCTGTCTGCAGGCGGCGCCTCCGGCGCCGCTCCAAGCAAGCCGCGCGGAGCTCCGAACATCTAGGTCCAAGTCGGGCGTGCCCCCCTAGAGGCCCTGTAATTTCAGGCGAAAAATTGAACAGACTCCAAACATACGCCCCAAAATGCTCAAAAACAGTAGAAGAGTCGTCCCCAGACTCTTTTAGACTATCTTCGAATGCCCCCAAACAATATTAAAAAAACACTAAACGAAAGTAGTCCCCAGAATATTCTGGACTATTTTTGAATTTTTCTCCTGTGGAGGGACAGGCCCGACTCAAATCTGGGCCTGTGCCCTTCTTTCACCTTCGATCTTCGGCGGAGTGCTCGGCCCGGTCGTCGCCGACGGCCTGCAGCTGCTCTTCCCGCGACCTCGCGGCCCTGCGCCGCCTGGCGGTCTTCACGACCCGCAGCACGATCTCCACGACCAGGTGCAGGACGGCCAGCCCGATCAGCACCACGTGGATCGTGGCGAACATGTTGACCATGTTCATGGTGCCGCCCTGGAGGGACAACTCAGCATCGGTGGCGAGCAGGAAACCGAATGCACAATTGCTGACGGTCACGATCAACGTCAGCACCAGAACGGGCACGAATATTGGCCCGAACTCCCGCTGCATCTTGCCAGGCAGGTCTCTCAAACCCAGGTCGTAGAGCGTATCTTCCAGCTTCTCAACCACTTCCACGATACCCTCAAGGGAATCCGCCGACCCCTTGTGGGCCCAAGGGGCCCCCAAGAGCCCCCCGAAGGCGCCCCGAATTCCACGAAGCATCCCTGAAGGCTCTGACCCAACACCCACGCACGCTCGCGGGACAGGCCGAACGTCCTTCGGCATGAGGTACCCTGCAGGACCAAAGGGGTGGGCGGATGTGGCGTCAGTCTGCAGAATCTCGAAAGTGCAGGACCTGCGAGGAGCTCAGGTTCAACGAGTCTGTAACGCTCTTCACGAACTCTTGTCCCCTGTCCATCTGCCCGTGCAGGGCGTCCTGCTGCCTCTGTGTCTCGGACAGCATCTCGTTCACGCGGTCGGCCTTCTGCTCGATGCCCTTGATCGCCTTCATCGTATCCTCGAAATTGCTCAACACACTCTCCACCTCGGCGACGACAAGAAACGGGTCTGACGCGAGATGGCGCAGCGACCCTGCGCGGCGGCTGACGCGGGCCGCCGGCGCGGTACGCCACAGTGGAGACGAGGGCGCTCGCGCGCGGCCTTGCGCGCGCCGCTTGCGCGCCAATGTCGGCGAAGACGATCCCGTTTTCTTTGCGTCGCCCACCTGGCTCTGGTTCATGGAATGACCCACGCCCATCTTGTCTTCGCGGCGCGCAGAAGGGTGGTCTTCTCAGGAGGGGGTCTCTTAGAATTAGGTCGGGCATGTCCCCGTACAGGGGGATTTTGGCCGAAAAATGAAACATGCCCCAAAAATATTCAACCATAGCCACGAAAATAGTTGAACATCGCCCCCAGACTATTTCTTGGCTATTTTCGAATCTCCCTCCTGCAGAGGGACAGGCCCGACTCGATCTCGGAGGCGCACCCGAGGCTCCTACAGTCAAAAACCCTAATAAGGACGCGCGGTAAGGACGCAAGACCCTTGGAAGCCGAAGTTGGGATTTTTCGGGCGGCGGACGACGAAAACATCAAGGACGCAAGAGCAAGGAAGAGCAAGGACGCAAAGGTACACCCTGAGCAAAGTCGCGCGTCCTTACTAGGGTTTTTGACTGTAAGCATCGTGCCTGGAGGGCCGCCGCTCCTCAACCCGCCCCTCACGCTGCACCCTCCCGGGGCCCTGCCTGCCCCACCGCGCCGCCACTCGCGTGCCCTCTTCGCGCCGAGCCCGCGGATCCCCGTCGACAGGGCTGAACCTCAACGGTATGTTTCGTTTTCGTTTTGCTTTCGTTGTCCCTCGCTTTGTCTGCACTCCGCCTTTACCGCAAAACGAAGCCGAAACGAGAACGGCCCACGAGATCGCAAAAACACCGTTTGGGCCCACCCCTGCCCGTCGACCCGTGCCGAATCCGCGCCGGATCCAAGAAAGCACCGCCGCCCACAGGACAGAGAAGCCCGAGATCCGACGCTGCGACAACCAATGCAACACCGCGCAACAATCACAGCAGGAGCCCGAAACTCCGTCATCCTGCGGCGTTTTGTTCGAGCCGCATCGATCTGCGACGGTCCTGGGGCCCGAGACCGACAACGCCGTGTGCAAAACTGGCAGCGCCCAGATCTCAGGGAAGGCCCGCTCACGGTGCACCGCGGCGCCCCCCTTGGTTGTCAGTTTCTGAGGGGCCTGCTCTCTGGGGGCCGCCCTTTTGGGTCGGCACCTTCTCGGCGGACCTCCGCGTGACGCTAAAGTGTTGGGCGAACTGACTACCTACCAGACCACCCCAACCCAACCCGAAGACCCGAATTTCGGGTTTGGGGGGGTAAAGGGTTCCACATGTGTTTTCTCGATGTTTCCCGACCCCCCCCCACTGGGAATCGAGGATAAATCTGAGCCTTCGGGTTGGGTTGGGGTGGTTTGGTAGGTGGTGACGAACTGGCATCCCATCTGGCTCTGAAGGGAGAGACCCGACACAGGATCCTCGAGGCCACTCTCCCGACGGAAGGGCGGGGATGCAGGGACGGAGCCTCGCGCTCCCCAGACATGCGATGTCTTGGAGGCCTGGGAATGGGCACCAACACCCAAACAGAGGGCTTTCCTCCACAGGGGGAAGATGATCCTCGATCTCGGTGCTGGTGGTAATGTTTCGGCCACCCTGGAAGCCAGAATATTACCACCATCACCGAGATCGGGATCTTCTTCCCTCGGTGGAGGCACACCGACGAAATTGGTGTTGGTGCCAACTTCTAGGCCTGCGAATGTCCTGATTTTCCCGATGCGGGCCCCCGGGAAGTCCCGACCCTTTCCAAAGAGCCTCGCGCAGGCCCCAGAAAGCTTCCTCCTCCTCCTCCTCCTCCTCCTCCTCCTCCTCCTCCTCCTCCTCCCTCCCCCTCCTCCCTCCTCCCTCCTCCCTCCCCCTCCTCCCTTCCTCCTCCTCCTCCTCCTCCTCCTCCTCCTCCTCCTCCTCCCTCCTCCCTCCTCCTCCCCCTCCCCCTCCTCCTCCCTCCTCCTCCCCTCCTCCTCCTCCCTCCTCCTCCCTCCTCCTCCTCCTCCTCCTCCTCCTCCTCCTCCTCCTCCTCCTCCCTCAATGCGGGCCCCCGGGAAGCCCCGACCCTTCCCAGAGACAGGCCTTTCCTCCCGAGTGCTGCTTTGGACGGCCCTGGGGCCCGGCGAGAGCCCCCCAGGGGCCGAAAACGACGGAAAGCCTTCCGTCCTGCTTCTGTCACGACGCGAGCATGTGAGCGACGAACACGAACGGGTCTTACGCTAGATGACATAGCGAGCTTGCGCGATGGCTTACGCAGGCCGCCAGCGCGGTACGCCACAGTGGAGACGAGGGCGCTTGCGCGCGACCTCTACGCGGCTAACTCACACGCCAATGTCGGCGCAATCGACTCCGCTTTCTCTTGGCGCTCGTGTGCCTGGGCCACCCAGGCCACAGGGAACTTACCCGTCGGTCGGAAGAAGCGGGTAGAAACATGAAGTAGGAATGCGGATTAAATAGATTGGGCTCAAGCCCTCCCCAAAAAACACGACGCAACAAAAACATATCGATTCACGAAATCGCTTGAAGTAGACCGGGATCCGGAAATTCAGAAATTCCTACTTTCAACGACCGGCGTGTACAATCGGCTACGCGCAGGAGTGACCCTAGGTACGAGTGACCTTTGGTGCGCAACTTTTTGGGGGCCGCGGGGGAACCGAGCACAAGCGCGCAATACGCTACTGCTGCATCGCGTTCGGCGATCGGGGGATCCCATTGGGCCCGCACCAAAGGTTACTCCAGCGAAAGGTCACTATTACCCAGAGATGCGATGTCGCGATTCTTTCGAAACGGGGGTCCCAGAAATCTCGACCCATTCCCTAGGGCCGGCTTTCAATCCTGTGTCGTTTTTGGACGGTCCCGAGGCCTGGTGAGGATCCCCAGAATAGGAAAACTGCGAGACACCTCCGCCCCGATTTTTTCGATGCGGGCAGCCGAAAAAAATCACCCCAGAGGTCTCGACCCATTCCCCATGCACGGCTTTCCGTCCCGGAGCCGTCGTTGGATGCTAAAACAGGGCTAGGATCAGGATAAATCGCTCCAAAGCGTTCCGGAGCGCTCTCAGAGCGTTCCGGAACGCTCTGGAGCGGCCGCGGCGCCCAATACATCCTCCAAACCCGCCGATTCTCAGAGATTTCGAGTTATCCCGATCCGATTTTGTGCCGATCTTTGCGTCGTTTTAGACGCTCCCGAAGGCTAGTGAGGGCACCCGGAGGCCGAACATAGCGCAACCCTTCCCGCCGTGTTTCTGTGCGCAGCGCGAGGGTCGGGCGTTGGCAGAACGGGGCTTGGTGGGACCTGGTTTGGTGATGTGCACTGGGGGTCGCCCCCCCTGACCTTCCAGGAGGGCTAAAAAACAGCACCCGACCCAAAAACCTATCCCAGAGCTATCCTACGTCTTGGTTTTCGGCTGTTTCGTTAAGTTTTTTAGGTTTTTAGGCCTCCAGTGCTAAAAAATAGCTCTCTGGAAGGTCAGGGCCCCCCCCCTCCGCCCCGTTCCACTCACCGGAACTGCCGTCACCCGAAAAAACACCAGCTACGGCAAGCCTGGTTTAGTCATTCTGGCCAGTTCAGGGGCTCCGGGGCCCTAGCACTGATCGGGTCCCCTCACCTGGGGTTCTGGCCATGCCCGAGAGCCCAGACCCCCGACGTAATGTTTTTTTCATTGCGTCGACCCCCAGAGGTCCCGACCCTTTCCCCATGACCGGCTTTGCATCCTGAGTCGTTTCTTGACGCTCCCGAGGCCCGGTGAAGGCCCCTGGAGGCCGAAAATTTGGAAAAACCTGCTGTCGTGATATTTTCATTGCTCGAGGGGGTCTGGGAGGGGGTCTGGACTCAACGACCAGCGCGTGCAGCCCCTCTGCGCGCCGCCGGCTGCAGGCAGGCGGCGCGCGCCGCGCTCCAGAAGCCGCCGGCGGCAACGTGGGCCGGCCAGCGGGCGGCGGCGCCGTGCCGGCAGGGGGGCGGGCGGTCGCCCCGCCGCGGCCCGAGGTCCAGAGCAGCGGCGGCGCGGCGGCGAGGAGGGGGAGGAGGGGGGGGAGGAGGGGGAGGAGGAGGAGGAGGAGGAGGAGGAGGAGGAGGAGGAGGAGGAGGAGTGAGTGAGTGAGGCAAAGACTAAATCTTGTCAGCAGCAGGCAGGGGCAGAAGGAGGGGGGGCGGGGGGGGGGCAGCACGCGCGCTTCGCGGCGCGCGCGCGGGGCGGCCGCCGTCCTTGAAGTTGGTGAACGGAGGGGCGGCGCGCGCGCCGCGCGCACGCGCCGTCGCCGCTCGCTCGCTCACGACGGACGACCGCTCCCCCCCCCTAAAGCCTGCCCCTCTTCTCCTTCTCAGCCCTGCTTAAAACCTTCGGAGGAAGATGACGGGAAATACGGCTTAGGTATTCCTGACGGTGCTTAGGTATTACATTCGGGCATTCCTTTCCTAAGCTAACGAGCTGGGCTTGGCCGAAGAAACCGCAACTTATGCAAAACCAGGTCTGTAATCCCGAATGGTACTGCATTTGGTGCGTTTGATGGACCCACCCCCCCGCCAGGTGTAACCGAGCCTCCTCAGGGAGAGACCGAAACACGCCTCCTGGGTTATTTAATTCGAAGCATGGGCTCTTTCTCCATTCAAGGAGCTCAGCCTGGGTCGCGGTGCTGCCACACCTCTGACATCCATTGCCACGGTCTGTGAGGACATGCTCTGTACAAAAAACAGAAGCTGACTTTTGGCCCGGGGGCGGGGGAGGGGAGAGGACGCTGGCGTCAGGACCAACCATATTTCTCCTTCGCTCACTTGCAGCAATTTCTTTCTCGACTTCCGTGGCATCAAGCGTGGCCCGCAGCAATCTGTGTCGCACAAGAAACGCCTTTTTCTCAATTAAATTGACACGGTGCCTATCTTTTGCAGGGACTCGGCATTCGTCTGACGCAACTTCGGCTGCTGCATCTGCTGCAGCATTGGCTAAAATCAACCACTCTGGGAACAGCTCCTGAAAGACAGCCTTGCCGTCTAGGTGGGAATTCACGAACAGCACTGTGACACAGGAAGGGCCACGACCTCGGAGAAACTCCTGACCGAGCTTCTCCCAAATTTCGGAATCTTCACCCTCTGGGTTTAAATACTTCTTATTATAAAAGCCAGAAACGACGCCAATATTATCACACATATATATATAAGATGCCCAGCCGAGGCCTGACATGCTAAGAGGAGTCCTGCAAGCTCCCCTCTCGCTACCGTCTGGCGCGGCCCTGGGAGGGCCCCGTGAATTGTGCCCAAGATGTCCAAGGCCTCATTGGAGGGCTCAGCTTGGTCCCCTGGGAGGTGTAATTGAACAAATGCCACTCCTACCCTACGAAGGCGGGGGTCCATGGTGTCCTTTCCCCCACTAGCATCCCCTGCTACACAGACTGGCCTGGATTGCGATCCTACTCCGAGCGTTTTTTTTTTTTGCTTGAGTTGAGTCGTCCTCCGTATTTCCAGTTATATTCAAGCGGCGGCGGCGATGCAGCTGTCCACGATTTGGGTATCAGACCTCTCAGCCAGAAACATTGCGTGGCTTCGTGTTGGCTGTACGCTTCTGGCAATAGTTCGTCCGTTACTGTATACGCTTTTGAATTTTTGTTTACATCGCAACTCCAGCATCTGTGAAACATAGTTTCTGGCGACCTTTTACACCGAGGGCAAAGATTATCCACTTTGGTTGGGGCCCACTTGTGACGACGTTGCCTTGGCCAAGTTCCCCCCGTTGCGATGGCCGCCATTAGCTCCGACAATCTGTGCCCTTGAGGCACATCTCTGAGTTGTCTTATAAGCTGGGTATAACTGTACATATCTGCTCCTTCTTCCAATCCTTCCCCACAATAATGTTTACTGGCTTGTTGCCAATACATACTTTGGCGGTCCTCTTTGAATCCCCGAATGAGGTCGCCTGCTGTATCCACTGACGCAAACTTTGTGAAAGCCTCTGGTGGGAAATTCCATTCTATGATTTCTCCATCGGGTCTGGGCTTCCTATCCCATGACTCGGCTGAGGTGGGTGTCCACCCCGTTTCAAGTAAATAGGTGATTACAGCTGTCAGGGGCCCTCGTATGTGGCGATGTCTTTGACCTGGCTGCAGGGCAACAAGCCTTTCAACAGTTGCACTCCATACTTTTTTGACCGCTGGCTGCATTGATTTCCCTTCAAACGCCCACATTCTGAACCATAGCTGAAGGCACTCTGCTGGCATTTTTACTCCAGGATCTGAATCGGGACACTTTAACGCCAATAATGTTGTCAGGCACCTTCCTGACGTGGGGGCTGCGCTGGTGGCCCCCAGACGCGTTCTGAACGTTTGCAGCTGCTGTCCGAAACATCAGTGCAATTGATGTGCATACGACCCTGCTGCATACGCTCCCTGCTTTTCAAGTCTGATCATTGGTTTGTGTCGGCGGGTGGCGGCAGCAAGCTTTTTTTTTTTTTTTTTTTTTTTTTTTTTTTTTTTTTTTTTTTTTTTTTTTTTTTTTTTTTTTTTTTTTTTTTTTTTTTTAAAAAAAAAAAAAATGCACTCATAACACCCGCTTTGTTCATCCTTTTACGTTTGACCGCTTGACCGTGACGACGTCCCCCTGATAAATCCGCCCCCAAATATGACACTTGGGATAAGGCCTCCAGTGGATATCCTGCTAGTCGAACCTTCCGTGCTCCATATTTGGCGTCATCCATGAAAGTGCACAGCACAGCACTTTTTGTTGCCACTTTGAGCTTTTGCTTTTTCAATCCATCACATGTGTCCACCAGTACTTGCACCAATTGCTTCCTAATCATGTCTCTGGATCCTTTTGTGCTTTGGCTCAAGTCGTCAATCCATATTCTGTGCGTGAAGTTTGGATGCGCAACAGTTATTGTTTCCAATCTGAAGTAAACCATTGCTCTTGCAAATCTCGTTCCTCCTCTACATCCTTGCACCACTGACTGTGTTGGGCTGAAGGGTTCTGAGAATGCTCCTGATTGTCGGAGCGTTCTCGGCGCTGCACAACTTAATAGTTCCAGATAGAGGATCTGGGCAGGGAACCCCAGCCTTAATGCACAAGTTATTAGTCTACACCACGTTATTGTGTCATAGAATCCTTTTATATCCATGAGTCCGTGTCCGAGGGGCGTGTTCAAAATTCCAGCTAACTCCTCGTCCAATGCTCTTACGAATGCTTCTCTGAGGGCTGCATTGCCCTCCACTGCAGCGTCCCACTTGGGGGCCGTTGCCGTTGGCCACTCAGCTACGTGTGAGTCCCGAGCTTGCGACCACACTCTGCTCAGCATTGACATTAATCCTATCACTCTGTCACCATCTCCACGATGTTTTGGTGTCATATGTCCAATCACCAACTGAGTTTGTACAGGCCAACACAAACTTGATTCAATTGACTGATGCAATTCAGAAAGCTCTTCCAAGGCTGTATTTGACTGTCTTTCAATGTCCGTCGGTGATAATCTGTCAACTCCTTGGCCTACATTAGGTCTCATTTTTTTGTCGCTCTTCTGATGTCATCGTGCTCTAATGGCAACAAGGGATTGACGTTTGCTGCCGTTCGAGCCTCTCCAAAAGCTCCGTCCAAATCTTCATAACTCAGCAACGGTGGCGCCCAGATACCTATCCACTTGGGCACCTTGGCGTCGATCATTTCTTTCGGCGAAGAGATGATCTTTCCGTCGCTTGTCTCATACTCTTGCGGCGGCAGCGGCTGTTCCTTGACATATTTATGCAAACATCCCATTGCCTCCTGAGAATCTACCCACGTTCGGAACTTTTCCATTGATGCATGGAGAGCTCGAGCTTGGGACCTTTTACTCGCTTTCCGTGTGAGGGCTGCAACTTTTTTGGCCACTGAATCTGATTGATCTTTGATTGTTCTCAAAACTCTGACCACACTATCGAAAGTTGGTTCCAGCTTTGTAAGAATATGCGATGCTTTGTCTGGAATATCATTGGCCAAGCTGCTGCAGCACTCCAGTAAATGCTCGACTTGTTTTTTTTTTTTTTTTCCGATTTTGGCGTTCTCGATGCTTTTGTGGGCCCGCTGCGATAGTACTCACCTGCGTCCGCCAGTTCGCAACTTCGTCTTGAAATGGCTGGGCCTCTCCAAGTGAAGCTCCTTGCTGGACCACTGACTTTTGAAAACTGGCACTCTCTGCTCTGCGGGCGCCAGGCGGGGCCTTACATGCATGATGAGTGTAAATCGTATCCTCCAGCGCGGTGACCCACGAGGCGAAGTGGGCGCTGATGGAGCCAAGATTGCTTGAGCCAAAACGGCTACTGACCGAGTCGAGAAAGTAGCCTGGGTGCGGGCAGTCAGCTTCAGGGATAAATCCAACATTCTGGCGGCACTCCCTCCATGTCTGCTCAGGGATCTCGAAACTTGGTCTATCTCCCTGGGGGTCGGCCTGGCTGATTAAAGGGGTGGTCGGGGTGACACTTATAAGGTCAGCTTCGGCCTCGAAGATTTCCTGCGTCAGCCAGTCGTCCTCTGGCCATGCTTCGAAATCCTCATCGCATTCAAAATTTAAAGCCGCGTTCCCCTCGTCGCCGCCCTGAGCTCTTCGGCGAGGCGCGGCTGACGATTCGGGTTCCACGCGGTCCCCAAACAACTCTGAATACACCTCGGCCCTCTTGGCCTTGGTGTGTGCTTGCTTCTGCTGGCGCTTCGACCTCGCAAGAGCTGATTTGGACCAGGGCGCGGCTGCGGCAACTGGTCTTGGCTCCTGGGGAAGCTTTGCAGGCAACCTAAGGGTTCTAGTCTCCAACTGGGCCCCAGCACAGCGAAGTTCTACAGAAAGGCCTATGTGGGGTTTCCACGGCACTTTAGCTACAGGTATGACAGACTTGATGAGGGCTCTGGCGGACTGGCTACAAACCAAATAGTCAATGTGGGACCCTTTTTCTCCCGTAGAACAAGTGGTCTCGACTGATGCTTGCACCGCCTGCCCGCCGACGGCGGTCAAAAAGCCTGAGTGAGAAAGTACTGACGCTGGC